CTCTAGGCCTGATTTTGGTGTTGGTGTCAACCTCTAGTAGAGGTTGACACCAACACCAAGATCGGCGGTGTGTCTCTACCGAGGGAAGATGTTCCCGATCTCGGTGATGGTGGTAATATTCGGGCTTCCAAGGTGGCCGAATTATTACCGCCAACACCAAACTCTAGGATCATCTTATACCTGAGAAGGCAACCGCCCGTGTTGGCACTGGTGCCCATGCCTAGGCCTCCAAGTGAGCGGAGGGGGCAAGGCTTCTTAGAAGCACCCCTGCTTCTTGGAAGGCGCGCGCCTTGCTTGTAGATGCAGGGCCAGCGCCTTCAAGAAGCGGCCCCCCTCTGAGAAGCATCCCCCCTCCCCCCTACCCTGAAGTCGGGCCTGCCCCTCCACAGGAGCAATATTCACGATGAGTCGAAACATAGTCTGGGGACGAGTCTGTTCTACTATTTTCAAACATTGGTTGATCTTTGTGCTGCTGTTTTTTTTGTATTTTTCGTCCAGAATCGCCCTGTAGGGGGACAGGCCCGAGGGGGAGCGCAGGCGGAGGCTGGAGGTGGAGGGGGGGGGGGACGCAGGTGGACCCGACGCGGGAGCCGTCGTCTCGGCGCTTCTCGCCGTCGTGGTCGCTGCCCTCGCAGTGTTTACCCGCCTGGAACATGTCCCTATCCCTGTGCTGGGCATCTCCTCATCACGGTGCCAATCTCAGGGATTCCTTTTTTTTTGTTGAGGGCGAATCCCTGAGATTGTCGTCGCCTTTTGGCGTGTCACTCTTAGGGATAGGGATGCGTTCGAGGCTGGCAAAGTGTGCCTCGTCAGCCCGTCGGCACTCTCGGCGGCGAGCGAGGGGAGAAGCGATAGGGGAGGGCCTCCTCGGGAGGCGGCGGGGCTTCTCAGAAGCCCTCGCGCCCTGAGAGGAGTGTTCTGTGTGTCATCGGGGAATGCCCGGGAGACTTCTCAGGAGGCATGGGGACTTCCGAGCCTTCTGAGAAGGCCCGCTCCTTCTCACTTCCCCCCCGCGCTCGCCGCCTATTTTCACCCATCTTCATTCGCACTTGTTTTCGCCCTCGTTGCCAGCTCCGGCGGCGTCGTCGTCGCCATCGCCCTTGCCATCGCCGCTGCCGTCGTCGTCGTCGTCGTCGTGAGGGTGTCCACCGTCGCCGGTGCCGACTTCGTCGCCCTTCTTGCCGTCCGCCCCCGCGCCCACCGTGTGCTCGCCTCCGCCCCCTCCTCCCGTCCCTGGCCTCGCGAGAGTACCTCGGCAGACTTGCGGCCGGTCTGAAGCCAGAGGTCCTCGGCCGAGCCGAGAAGGAGGCCAGGCGGTCGACGACGCCTTTGACGGGTTGGGAGAGACACCTTTGCATCCGCAGCGGGCTCCACTCCACTCTGCTCCAGAGGAGGGAAGTGTACTGATACAGCTGTCCTTCCCTCATCTTCCCTCGTCGCCACAGGCGGCGACGTCCGACGCCAACCGTGTGCCAGACCAGTTCGATACACGCTTCCGCGCGTGTTGGCACGCACGGCAGCGTGTGCCTGCTGGCACACGGCGTCGTCCAACCGGGGCCTCTCCTGCGACGGATTTGCAGGGCACCGGTGCGCAGAGCCACGCGCCTCTTGGCTCGCAGCCCCGCTCGTGGAGCAGGAGTCCAGGGACAGACGCCTGCGCAGCACCTGCGTGCGCTCTCGGAGCTCCGCGCGGAGTTCCTGGACCTGCGCTGCCCCCCCCCCCCCTGGCGGCGCCGCCCCTGGCGCGCCCCGCGTGCCAGGGAGAGGGTCCAGTCGCAGGCCCCGAGGTTGACACCAACACCAAGATCGGCGGTGTGCCTCCACCGAGGGAAGAAGATCCCGATCTCGGTGATGGTGGTCATATTCTGGCTTCCAAGATGGCCGAAATACTACCCCCGACACCGAAATCTAGGATCGTCTCCCCCCCCCGGTGGAGGCAGCCCCCTGTGTTGGTGTCGGTGCCCATCTCCAGGCCTCCAACAGCGCTGGCTCGAGACATCCGCGCGGAGCTCTCCGAGTTTACGTCTGCGTGCTCTGCCTGCTTTTGCTGCGCTCGTCGAGCACGAGGGGCTGCCCGCCCCCCCCCCTGCCCCGAGCGAGCCGCAGCGGCGGGGGCAGGCCGAGCAGCCGTCCGCCCACGCGGGGGCGATCCGCTCGAGGATCGCGAGGCAGATGTCCGCGCTGGGCCGGGCGGCGCAGCCCCGCGCGGAGCGGGCGGAGGCGCCGGAGCCGGCGAAGGCCGAGGTCGTCGGGGGCCATCAGGGGCAACGATAGGGGGGGATAGGCATAGGGGGGGGATGCATCGACCCCCAATCGCCAATTGATCGCCCGTAGGGGCCTATCGCCGATCTGGCGGCGATGTGTCGCCGAGTCCAAGTCGATGCGTCCCCCCCTATGCCTATCCCTTTCTATCGTTGCCCCTCAGCTCAAGAACCCAGGGAGCCCTTACAGAGGAGGAGGAGGAGGAGGAGGAGGAGGAGGAGGAAGGAGGAGGAGGAGG